TTATTCCCATTTTTAAGGTGATGAAAGTGAAGGCTTAAAAATGCTTAATAACTTGCCTGGAATCTCACAGGTGGTGTGTGATAAACTCAGGGTTAAAATCCAGGCAGGCTGGTTCTAACCATCTTTTAAGAAATTTTATAAGTCAATGTGCTCTTTTCTCCCTAATCCTTAACTGCTGTCACTCTTTTTTCATTTACTTTTTGATCTTTTCTTCACACTTAATTGGAACGATCTATGTAAATCCAATCAGAATTTGTTCTTTATATGTACATGTCTCCAGAGCTTGTGCATTTGGAATACAATTTAGTTTATTGTCAAACATCCTTACTGAATTCCTGATCTAAAATCTTTTGACTGGCATGAGATGTATTTCTTAGCTAGTAATTTATTGTTGTTTTATCTTTCCAATATATTGTTTTGTGAGGAAAAAATTATTAAGGATAGGTTTTAGAAATTTAGCCTTTTGAGTTTTTCATCTTTGTTCTCCCTTCCTATATAAAAGAAGACAAAATACCTCTGCTTCATGTGTAAAATTCCATGATCTATTTTTCCCCTAATCTTAAAACAGGAACTTTCCACTCTCTTCTAAAAGAAATATTCTTCTTAAATGTTCTTGTGCCTGGTTGCTTTATGGGGTGATATTCAACGTTCGCATACAAGACCCCCTCCTCCTTTGAGTTCATGAGGTTCTCTGGTTCCTTAAGCATATCTGATTTTTACATATATTACAAAAGGTAAAGGATCCTTTTGACTTATAAAAATATGTGATTTTAAACAATATTTCAGAACGATGAACGGGCTAACAAATTTTCTTATTCATTTGCCAATTATAAATATGATGTTTGTGTGTATCTAAGTAAATGGAAGGTATAAGGCAGTGTGGGTGATAATTGTGGTAGTCTCATCTATTACTCTGCGATCTTTCCCCAGTGGTAGGAATTGCTAGCCTAAGAAAGAGGAATTTTGGGTATCAACAAAGCACACATTTTCTAATGTATTTTTCAGACATATTAACAGAATGTCAGATACCTATGCTGTTAAAGCAATTTCAAGTTTAATAACACTATTTCTTTTAAAACTTGTCTTGATGATAAACTCAAGTTTATTTTAGGGTTTCTAGGATGGGTAAGAAGGAATGATTCATTTTTGGATCCCTTTCCTCACTTAGTTTCCCAGTGCCACAGACATCTTCTGCTTTCTTAAGCAAAGGATTTATTTCAGAACTTTCCCTGGGAACGGCTATTGAAATCCTGAGCAGAAGTTCTATAAACACAATCCCGCAAAAAACTAGTAATTTTTTCAGCCATATCTCAAGAATCTAGAACAAGGGGACACACCTTCTAAGCGTCTTCCATTTGGTTCTCTTGTATTCTATGGACTTGTTCTGCCTCTACTCCACTCAGATGCTAGAAATTTGGTTATCTTTTATTTTCATT